TCCCCGTAAACCTCTGAGTCTTTTTGCAAGGAAATTTTGAAAAAAAAATATATATATTTCTTTGGGCAAACGTAGGGGTCACTTTTTTATATTTTTCGTCATTTACTCGGCATTTACAGTCGGAAGTAAATGTTTTATAATACTGAAAAATAATAAAAGTCCTTTTTTATTAACGGGTTCTATGTAAAAAGGCCTGATTTTTCGATTGAGATGACTTAAAACAATATTAAAATTTACCATCAATGAGTAGAATTACAAATAAATTTTCGTTTGGGATTTTCACTCTGAAAATGGGATAATTTTGGAAAACGTATAGCACCATCGGATAGCCTGTCATATATTCCGAACTATATAACTTGTAGAAGAGCTTTTTTCTTACCTAAGGTTTTACATTTGGAGATTTGGCTCCGTAGATGTTTTGTACGAGTTGCAATCGGACTTTGAAGGAGCCCATGTTTAAGTTGCTTGGCGAAAAGTTGAATTTTAAAAAACTATTCTATAACAGATGCGTTAAAAAATTTTGAAGCCACATCGATTTAGGAAAGGTCCGCGAATAGGTCTGGCACTATGGCAATTATGGAAATGCTAGATATTTGGAGATTTTAGGATTCTAGGACTTCGTCCGAAAGGAGACTTGTACTTGGAAGGTGCACCAAAGATTGGGTTTTATAAAGGACATAACCAATTTGCGAATTATTCCGTGCATTGTTTGAGATGTACTATGTGTCAGATAAAATCAAACACTTCATGCTTCCCTCCTCTAGGCTGACAATTCATTCATCCTTCTGGTAAGTAGGGACATTTTTTATAAAATCTTTATATTGCTTGAGCAGATAATGAACGCGAAGACAATTCAATTTAAAAATGATATAATTTTTATGTTAGGGTGGGTTTGACAATACTTTCTAATACCCAAACTGACGGCTTGATTTTGATGCCCCGGTCATGAGATTTCAGCAAGTCTCTGTCGAAATCTAATAATATATATCGACATAACTCTCTCCAGGAGTGAGTTCCATCGGAGCTTGTCGTCAAGGATTACACCCAGATATTTTACATTTTAAGAAGGAACATTGGCAATACAGCGACAAGTCATTTCATCTACTCATTTGTTCGGAGCGCAAGTGCAGACTGGATAGAATGGAGTTTTGACAAAGTATCGCGAATCTCAATAGTCTAAGAATAGGGACCAGAATAAACTGGCGATAAATACCGTTCAAAGCCTGTATTTAGTTCATCAGGCTCACAAGATGACAGTTTGTATGTATATGGCTGAACCTGGTCTTTGAGAATCAAGAGATGGCTTCTGATGTGCCTTAGAGGATGCGCCGCCGCTTCAAGCAAGTGACTACAGGGGTGAGCAGGTGCGTTAGCAGTCCAACAGCGACCACATGGGCAGGCATTTCGTGGTATTCATAAATTCACGTTATGGTCAGGTCTGAAGCTTCGTCTTCGTCCACTGCTTCCTACTACTCGCCTACTACTACGCCTACTCGCTGTGCACACTTCCACACCAGGAGCATTTTTGTGTGCATCGAAAAATAGTGGCATACATCTGAGCCCCATATTTCGTTCATTTACTTTAAAGTTGCAACCAATTTCTGTTATCTAACCTAACCTTCAGCGCACAGCTTAAAGCTAAGTTGATAGCAGTTCTCCTTGAACGACCTAACTTTTCTTATTTTCATTTCGCTGTATTCCTACTTTATTCCACCCCAACACCCCAGCACCCTCACCCACACCCACACCCAAACATATTAATTTTCACAGTCAGCATCCTTAGCGACCCGACGCGACACAACGCGTTCCCTAGTTGAGTAGCGCGCCAAACGCTCTGCTAAGCACACTCACCTCATGTCCCTTCTGCTGTGCACTGCAATTACTTATATCCAAGGATCCACTTATAAAATCATTCTGTACATCAACAATGAGGAAAGCGTTCACCGGTCTTACAATCTGCGCCAATATTGTTGTTGTTTTTGTTCATACGTTCGTTCGTTCGTTTGCGCACGTTGGTTGGTTGGTTGTGGTGGTGGTGTTGTTAGTATGCGGAGGACGAAAATAGGAGAGAGAAAAAAAGAAAGTAAAGTTAATGTTGGAAATATTTCGGAGTACTTTACAGCCAAACAAGCGCTTGAAGAGTAAAAATTATAAACACTTACACAAACACAATCACACACACACACACACACACATGAACGCTGCGTGCCAGCGAGTCAAGTGAAATTTACAATAGCCGGCAAGTGCCGGAAGGATACTAGCAGGATATGGCGAAATTTGACGATGACAAGGAGGTGTGTGTGTGTTTTTTTGTTTGTTTGGGTTTGAGTTTGCTTAATAATATCGGATATTCATGAGGAGAAAATGAATTTGTTAGACATATTTTTGGCAAATAATTTCAAGTTTGTAAAAATTACACACACACACACACACACACACACACACACACACACACTCACCACTTATGTGTACACTTGTTTTCATGCACTACGACATACAAAAGCAAATTGCCAGCTGTGCCATCAACATTAAAATCACTCGCTAAAAATAACAGGAATGACCCAAGCTAAAATCAGTACATGACAAATTGAACTTTGAAGGAGTGAGCTGAAGTTTTAAAATACATAAATTAAATGACATCGGACAGTGGTAGATAAGTGTTGAAAAAATTTGTAATTTGAAAAATGTTAGGCCTTCGATTATTCGACTTTTTTTCAAAGCAGGTTTCGAAAAATGCCCCTTTGAAAAAACTGGTTCCAAATTTTGAAATTAAACAAATAACGGATAAACCGGTTTTATTCCACATATTTATGTGAAAAATGCACCTTCGGTCTTGATTGAACTTTCTTTTAGTACTTTTTTTTAGTACCTGCACCCTTGCCGCCGTAACCAAGTGATTGAATTTAGAGGAGAAGCTCGGCCAAACACGTAGAAAATCGTGTAAGCGCCAACATTTATTTATTTTTATTTTTGCCCACTTTCTGTATCGATGTCCAGGTCTACAGACGAAGCACCTCAAGCACTTGGGTTCACGCTTCTTCAACAGTCCGGGCGAGATAGCGGAGGTGGAACTGTTGGATATCCTCGGCTTCATTAGGGATAGTAATTGGTTGAGTCTCCATTGGTTACTACTAGGTTTGTTAGTTCATCAAGTGGATATAACAAACCAAAAGACACCCTGAAAATATCTTCTGTATCCCGCTGTTGACTTCCTAACTCCAAGGTATCTTCAGCTTCCCTAACAAAAGTTAAAAGCGGCTTCGATGAGACGCGACAATCGCACAGCATATCGAAACCTGAGTGGAAGATCGTCCCATCTCAGTGGATCAAAAACTCCGCATATGCAGGGTAGTGTAGGGATTTTCATTGAGCAACTAAAATTTAAGTTAACCTTTCGCCTCCCAGATCACAAAAGCGTTTTCAGGTGGAAATAATTGCAATTAAGGACAACCAGCGAAAAGCGCCGATGGACATTTTTTCAATTAGCCAGTCGGAAATGCAGACACTCTCTTCATCCCCAGTTATTTAGATCACAACTAAAAGAGAGTTGGCCTTTGCTCACTGGTCTCTGATCACTTCGAAATTACCCTTATATGGGTCTCGGAGCGGAGGGAAAGGTACATTGGATGAACCTTCTTCTTTCTCTTTTTCTTGAAATTACATCCAGATATTCACAGTTGCAACTCCTCTAAGCAGCCCACTGTATCCATTTATTAATAAAAAAACCACAGCGAGTAACCCCACAGTAGCATAATAATGGAATAACGCTGTGTTGCTCGAGCTTCGCCACAATGAATGAGCTGAGCTGGCCATTATTTAAAAAGTTAATGGTACATGACCTCAATCGGAACACGGGCCAAAGAACTTTTGACGACAAAAATGCAAAAGTAAAATAAAATGAAAATCACTTCCTAGGATATACATACATACATACACAAAAGCGTTTGGGTGCTAAGGAGCACGAACACAGGAAACAAAAATTAAGTAACAATAATCACTTTATAATTTCGGTGATTTCGAGCAGAGAGCACAAACTGGAGATTTCTCTAAAGAAATTGAATTACTTACATGTACATACATATATATAGGTATGTATGTAAGTTATATATGTATGTACATATGCATATATGCATATTTCGGAAACAGTATTTGGAATGAACAGTTGTTCGTTGGGGTGAATCAAAGCGGAAATTTAGCATTTAATAGGTTATTTGAGTTTTCACTTAATTAGAAATTCATTGCATACATTTTTACATTACTGCAAGGTATTATGTATCTATGTACATATATATGTATGTGAATATGTAAGTATGCAAGCAAATTTAATTGAGCAGAAAAATAATAGGTAAAATGTAGTGAGTAACATATCAAAATGCAGTGAAGGTACTGCATATCTCCCTGCTTGATTGACTGACTGGCTGACAAGGCATATGAAGTGAACTTTGAAGGGCAAGAGCAAAGTAATAAATAGCAAAGAAAATTAGTTCCAGTTGTCAGCCCGTGTAACTCTTGGGTGGTGCGTTACTCGTATTTTGTTACTGCCAATTTGAACCGCTTATGTTTTTATCACATTTCCGATTTGCTTCAAAGAAAGTAACACTAGATATTTCAATAGTTAGCAGACTTCTAAATACTAAACGGTTCAAAAAAAGAGTAATCGTTCACTTTTACTTTCCCCCTTCGAAGTTTGACAAAATAACTAATGAATTGTGATTTGCAGGATTTTTTGAAACTATACAAAATTTCATCCGGATTCTTTCGTTACTTCGTGTTACTTATCAAGGTTATTTTAAGATTTTTGGGGAGTTTTTCCGGACTTTCCTTAATTGTTTCGGGATTTTTCGGCATTCTCCGTATTTCAGAAATTTTCAAAACTTTTCCAGATTACCTTAAAATTTTTCGAGATCTTTTCGGGGTTTTTCGTGTTTTACGTTTCGGGGTTCTAAGATTTTGAGGACTAATTTTTTAAGGACTTTTCGGGATTCCTTATGTTATGTTTTTCAGTATCTTCCGGGAGTTTTTGTTAATTTTTGGTTTAGCCGGAAATGCTAAGTTCTATTGTAGTACTGTCGTGTTATTTAAAAGTTACTAAATATATTTGTATTTAATAGAAAAAGAGACCTCGCCTTGCTACCATTTTAAGTCGATTGAACCACTTTTATTTTCCTCTACACAGTTCTGGTTTGTAGGTTGTGTTAGGAACTCGGCCTATAAAAACGAATTCCAATGAAAGCGTACAAAAGTTTTCGGATAGCACTATCGATAGTATCGATAGTTTCAATTTGTGACAACTATCGCTGAATGGTGGTCACTATCGCGATACTGTCGGCAATCTTTTCTCATCGCTTTTTTATTCCATTATTCGACGCGAGTTATAATTTCTACTTGAAGAATTCATAATTATTTGTGCGATCGTGCTATGTTAGGCAATTTTTGTATATGTAGCAACCAAGCAACACCTTCAACAAAAAAATTTTCCAAGAAGTAACGGTAAGCGCTGGGTACTTCAAAGTTCCACTTTATACTAAAATTTAACGAACTACGAATTTAAATTTTTTTGAAGCGAGACTTTGCAGATTGAGATTAAGAACAATATTAAGATTAAGTTTAAGACTAATAATAATATTTTGGCGCTTACAGTATTGCTAAGTATTTGGCCGAGCTTCCCTTACAATTTGTGTTGAGCGTTATGATGTCACAATACAATTTTACGCCGCAAATGGTGTTTAATGAGAAACTATTAGAAAAAACTTGAAACTAATTACGATGCCATCTACGCATAAATACTAAGTAGAGGGCAATGAAAA